CACTGTGTGAAAGCATGTCCATTTAGAATCAATCGGATCATTTTTGGCTTTACGCTGAGGGACATATAGGTACTGTAATAACTCAGTGGAACTGTACATGAGAAGGACGCTGAACGCTAGAAGGAATCATTTACTTTTGTACTGAGTCTGCAGAATAAAATACAGGGGGCGGGGTGTAAACACACCATGGCGTGAAAGGATAGTTCAGTCTCGCTATTTATTCAGTCCTAGGTCTCTGTGCTGAGACTGCCGACAGGCGTGTCCGTTGTGGTGGTGCATATTGTGACACAGACATTGAGATGAGCAAACTTATTTCACAAAGACTACTAAAGAGCCCCTCAGACACCAACAATGTTCAGACACTACCACCCTGGGCTGGATTGGAATCAGCAATGAAGAGATGAAAAGCTCCAAACCCTCATCAGTTCCTCTCTCTGTTTTCTCAACACCCACGTAGAAGCCTGAAAATCGAAATGTCGCCCTCTAGTGTTCTGAAAACAATGAGTTTCCCCCCGTCTTTTGAATGGGGGATGAAAAGAACATACTGAGGTGGATTTTGTTTGACACCAACTTCAGCTCACATAATGCCCCATCCTGGCAAAAATGGCACTCTCAGTAATATTAGCATGTCCTGGAGAATGGTGTCGCACCGTTAAAAGCTGCTCCAGAGATGGCAAAAGGAGCACAGGGCTGCCAGAATAATTTGTATAGTGAGGGTGCTGAGAGCACTGAACCAAACTGTAAACCTGTATATGATGGAAACTACTTCAAGCCAGGGTGTGCAGCAGACCCCCCGCATCCCTAGTTACCGCAGCTATGAGGGCTGCAAAGGAAGCAGGAACACACATGCTCTGAGGGGAACACAGCACTAAGTCCTGGAGTCACAGAATCTCTGCCCTGTACTCAGCCCATCTGCACTTCCCTCCTTTCCTCTAACAGTGCCTTCAGGAGTCAAACTTGCACTGGCAAACTCCTTCTGCCACTTCTGCTTGAACTCTCATCTTCATCCACTCTCTGAATATCCTTAGTAACTGTTACAATGCAGCTTCTCCTCACCTCCAGTTCTGGCTCCAACCTGAAATACCCATGGAGCCCCATCACTTGGAGCTGGTATGAAGGGGCTTCCACCAAACCTTAGGGAGAGGAGAACATGCCAGGGGTCAGCAGCTCTCTCTTTTCCATGCTCCAGGAGACTCTTCCCTCTCATGCTAGTGGAGGGAAGCACAGGACTTATATTTTTGTAGGTCTCACAAAAACAGCATTCACAGGTTGATTTTTTTCTTAGCTCTGTGGCTCTACCAATAACTAGATATTATTAGGAACCCACAGGACATTCCATATGAAAATATAATAATAATCATATTCTGAAGTCAAATGTGGGCACCAAAATCATTGAGCATTAAGTGGCTTTATTTGTTTGTTTGCTTGCTTGCTTACTTGCTACGAAAAATGAAAAGGAATCTCAGCTCAAAAAAGCACTTCATATTTTTTTTAACAACCCCAAAAACTGTTGTGGGGAAAAGGAGGGAAAGAGATAGCAAAGGTAACACTTTTTAAAAATTTTCTCCACTGATTTTAGTAATAATAACAACAATATATAGAACACATCTAGAGCTTTTCATCAATAGATCTCCAAGCACTTTATGAATTAGGCAAATATCACTATTCCAATCTCCAAAGAAGGTGACATTGAGGCACATAGAGTGGATGTGGCTTCCCCAGCTCTCAGTAGTTGAGCTAGGACCCAGGTGATTCCCACTCCAGTGGCCTATCCACTGTGATCATCTCATTTAAGATAAGCGGGCATTAAGTACCATAAAGACCTCTCCAGGCCCCTTATCAGGCCTTTGGAACTACCCCCAAAAACCCATCCTAGATTTTATACAAGACCTAATTCATGTTGGCACAAGTCTTGGAGAGTTTTAGTTCCATACAAATTTTCAGCCAGACAGGATGTTTTCAAATAGTATTCAGAGTACTTTACGGTACTGAGTTTTACTGTATTAAAACCAGGCTCTCAGTGATCTGGGACACACAAGGAGCCTGGCAGACTTGGTTTCTCTTCTTTATTTAGAAAGAAATTTATCAAACTGTTTGCCAGATGAATATTTCACAGGTTTGCCCAGCTCAGACAAGAGTCAATTAATTGCAAGGAGGTTTTTTGGAAAGCAGAGGTCCCAGAAAAGAAGCAACGTGATACGGGTACTTCTACCTGGTGTAGCTTCTGGCCATAGAAAGTTTGTCACAGGATGTCTTCCTTTTAGGCAACACTATTGAATAACATAAGTTATTAATTGATCGTGTACCTCAAATGACCACATTTTGACATGATAGAAAGGAAACTATTATGCTGGTTTTCTTCCAGAGTCTCCTTTCACATGAAACGTCTACAGGATCTGAACTATCTTAAGATCTAAATTATCTGTGGATTTTGATATTATACAGTTAACACTTCAGCTATAATCATAATCTCTTATAGAAATTGAGTATCAGAGGGGTAGCCATGTTAGTCTGGATCTGTAAAAAGCAACAGAGAGTCCTGTGGCACCTTTAAGACTAACAGATGTATTGGAGCATAAGCTTTCGTGGGTGAATGCCCACCCACGAAAGCTTATGCTCCAATACATCTGTTA